TCACCCTCCCCCCTCAATTTTAATTTAAAGCTCTTTTTAAAAAAATATTTTATTTTATTTTATACAAACAATCCATCTTTCATTTAAACAGTGTGTCGTCTGGGTACAAATATCTTGTGCAATAACAATTACAGTTTATACATATTCATTACTTTAGCATTAATACTCTATTCTTACTTAATATTGATGTACATAATATACCTGATTATTATAACAATCCCCATCTGAACATATTTAATTCTATTCACATGCTTACTATTTTTCGCTAGCCTTCTTTATTTTCTAACTTCTATATTTATTCTCCAGCCATGGATAAAATAGTTCCATATCATATAATATTCATTTTGTTCCTTCTCTTTAATCACAAGTGTTAGCCTGTTCATTTCTGCACATTCTAATATTTTCCTGATCACATTCTCATCTGTCGGAATCTGTTCACTTTTCCAATTTTGTGCAAATACAATTCTAACTGCAATTAATACATGAATAATTAAGTTTGTCTTCTCTTTACTATAAGTTTCAGGTATAATCCCCAACCATTTCAGGTTTTAAATCAATATGTTGCTGTATCATGTTTTCCAACCACGTATGTTTTTTTTATCCAATATCTTTTGGCTTCTACACATGACCAGCACATATGATAATATGATACAGGTGTCTGATGGCATTTCCAACATTTAGCTGATTTATCTTTAAACATCCTTGCCGGTCTTGCCGGCACAAAATGCCATCTACAAAACATCTTATACAAATTTTCTTGGTATGCAGTTGACATTGTTAATTTACAGTTTCTGTCCCAATGTTTCTGCCATAGCCCATTGTCTCTTTCACTTGTTCTTCTTCCATTTTAATACCCAATAAATAACTATACATTTTTTATCAGTTTCTCTTCTGTTCCTGTTAGTAATTTATCCAATTTTGTCAATTCTTTATAGAAACCATCTAATTTAGCATCTTTTTCATATCTAGCCTGTATTTGCATATACCAAACCATATCGATCCCTTGCTTCTTTAATTCTTGTTTAGTTTTGAGCTCATCCTCATCATTCAAAATGTCTTTGTATCTAACAATATTTCCCATATTGATAATATTTGGATGAATAAGTGCTTCCATTGTCAAAAGCCTGGTATCTTCAAGTAGTGCTGTTCTCTAATTTTCTCCCATATTAACAATAAAACATTTCTTATATAATGTCTTTGAAAGTAACCGTGTATCTTACTTTTCCCATACCAACCCAATTGCAAATCATGCCCTCCAGATCATGCCCTCCAGATTTTGGACCTCAGGTACCACCAAACTCATAATTTTAGATCCCAGGGACCACTAACTGGTTCTGTTCTAACTGGAAATGGTTCTTGCTTTCTAGCTAAGCACAGCCAAACCTCCCTTAGGACTGAAGGTTTGCTTGCAAGCAAATTCAGTACAGACTCACGGCAAGCAAATTTGAGAGACTGAGCTTAGCCGATGGCAGATAGATAGATCACTGAATGATTCTGTGAGCAGTTCAATCTGCCTGCTTTGCCTGATTTTGGATAAAAGTTGCTTTTTTATAAAAAATTCAATATTTACATACATGGTGCGTTGTGAGTTAATTTTGTAAGTTTGCTTGCAAGCAAATTTTATGTGACAGACTGAGCTAGCCAATGGCAGATAGATTGATTTCTGAATGAATCTGTGATTCTGTGAGCAACTCAATCTGCCTGCCTGCTTTGCCTGATTTTGGGTAAAAGTTGCTCTTTTTTTATAAAAAATTCAATATTTATATAAATATTTATAATATTTACATACAAGCCATGCCCAGCCAGTCACATGACTACCAAGCCACACCCACAAATTAGACAGAACAGATGATGGTCAGAAAAAGGAAAAATAGAAATTTAGCAGACAAGTTTGCCGGGTAAGGCAGGGAGGGTTTGTGAGGCTGAGCAGCTTTGTGTTTCTGCGCAGTCTGGATTAATTGCTTTGGGGGGGTGCTCTGGGGGTGAGATTTCTCTGCGGCCCACCAAATTTTTCTCGCGGCCCACTGGTTGGCGACCATTGCTCCAGATAATCTTGTATTCCTCAATATAATCATTCTTTCATCCATGTTAACACTACGGCCTGCTAGTATAATTCCCAGTTAGGTAGTCCAAACCCTCCTCTAGTTCTTGTGTCCTGTAACATTTTAAAGTTAATTCTTGCTTTTTTCCCTTGCCAAATATATTTTAATATTATTTTATTAAGATCTTCAAAATATTTTTTCTCCAATTTTATCGGAATTGTTTGAAACAGGTACAGAAATCTTGGCAATATATTCATTTTGATTGTTGCTATTCTCCCTATTAACGATAATTGCAAATTTTTCCATTTTTCCAGATCTATATTAATTTGTTGTATCAATTTATAATAATTATCTTCCTTATCTTCACACATCTTGCTGTTAACTGAATCCCTAGATATTTAACTTTCTTAGTGATCTGGATATCTAATATCTTCATTAACTCTTATTTCTGCTTCTCTGTAACATTTTTAATCCTGCCACTTCTCCATACTCTTCTATTTTTTTATTAACTTAGGTCCTGTTTCTAATGGATCTTCTAGGATAAAAACTAAATCATCTGCAAATGCCTGTAGCTTATATTTTTCCTTTTTTATTTCCATACCTTTTATCTCCTTATCTTGTGATATTCCTATTTAGTACTTCTAATATCAAATAGTAATAGTAACAAATAGTAATGGCAACAAGGGGTATCCTTGCCTTGTTCCCTTCTTAATATTAACCTTTTCAGTCATATCTCCATTTACCATCACCTTTGTGGTTTGTTTAAAGCCCTTGTGATGAGTTGGGCCAATCTTTTTCCGAGTACATTTTCTCCTGTTTTTGTGAGGTACAGCTCAACCCTTGCCAAGAGTCCTTCTTTTAGGTAATGCAGTCCATGGTCCAGGAAACCAAAGTTTTCTTGGCTACATCAACCCTTTAGCCAGTTGTTTATTTCTATGATTCCTTTTTCCCTCAACGAGGGAAAACACCTTTTGTTGGGAGTACTGATGAGATACTTGTGTTTTTAGCTTCTTAACTGTATTGCCTTAGTTGCTTATAATCTTTCAATATTGTATTCAGGTTCTTTGTTGTGTCATTGTCCCAACGTGAAGGAGGAAAGGGGCCTAATCTGTAGGCCTAATTATTTTGGTTAGGTTCTCAACCACATCCTTGATTTTTGCTCCAGGGAGACAACATACCTCCCTAGATTGTATGTCCAGTCTGCGGATGGCTGGTTCTGTTCCTTTGAGAATAGAATCTTCTTCTTTTTTTTTATAAACAATTTTATTAGTTTTTAAAAGCAAACAAAACAAACAAAACATAAAAACATCCAGCTTTCTTTCATAAATATACAAACAGTGTGTCGGTTGGTTTACCAATTTTTTTGTGCATCCATTTCGTAGTCTCAATTACAGTTACATTACATAATGACTCATATTATCAATCGAAAATTATATACCCTAGTATCACTATCAAACAATTTGACTATAATTTTATTCATTCATACTTTGCGAGATAACCATAATTTACTTAATTTATCTTATAACAAATCATATAATCATACCAAATCTATCCTAAAAACATTCTGTAAATATAATATCAGATAAAAAAGAAAGAAATATCACTTTATATATTCATTATTGTCTAAAATTCTAAATATTCTATTATTGTGTTTTATCATCCAACCATTGATAGAAAAGGTCCCAAATTTTATAGAATTGTTTATCCTCTTGTTCTCTAATTTCAAATGTCAATCTGCTCATTTCAGCACATTCCAATATTTTCTTAATAATTTCTTCTTGCAATGGTATTTTCTCATTTTTCCAGTTTTTAGCAAATACAATCCTAGCCGCTGTTAATACATTTACAATCAGGTATTTCAAATCTTTACTATATGTATCAGGTAAAATTCCCAATAAAAAGATCTCTGGTTTCAAATCTATGTGTTTGTCATTTTTTCCAACCACATGCGAATTTTAGTCCAATATTTTCTAGCGTCCTCACATGTCCACCACATATGGTAATATGAGCCAGGTATCTGATGACATTTCCAGCATTTTTCAGATTTATTCTTGAACATTCTTGCTATTCTTGTCGGGGAAGGTGCCACCTGTAAAACATCTTATACAAATTTTCTTTATAAGCTGTTGAATAGAATCTTCTATCATCAACACTCACCTTCCTTTTTTGGAGGGGGGGTGCAGTCTGGGGTGCTTTTCTGTTTATCTCAGGTGTGTTTGTTGATATGATTTTTTTAAAGGGCTATTTGATTATGTCTCTTTTCTAGATGTCTGCAAGTTTTCTTTGAGGAAGGAAAACTTGGGCCTGCATATTTTTGTCTAGGGGGAGAAATCGATTGGTCAGTTTTAATGGGGCTGCTTCTGGTTGGGTTAGATTGGACAATAGTGATTTGTTAGATATGGGTTAGATATACTTGCTTTTTTATTATTCCTTCTATGTGTGACACATCTCCATTTGTCTTCCTCCAAAGGTTTATCAGCAGGATCACAATATATTACTATATTATTATATATTACATAGTATGTATCATATATATATATATGAACAGGATCATAACATAATAAATGATAAATGAAAGCATTCTGCTATGGCAAGGGTGTCAAACTCAATTTCATTGAGTGCCACATCAGCATTATGGTTCCTTCCTTCCCTCACTGCCTCCCTCCCTCCTTCTCATTAATATCTCCTTCATTTTATCACGTTGCCTCTTTCTCTCAGTCAAAACTGTGTGGCCTCTGAGCATTTCCCAAACCCCCAGTTCTTTGAATCTGCTAATACTTTACTTATATACTGCCATATATAAACATTCATTTTCCAATAATGAATTCACTATTGGTTTTCAAGGTCATATACATTAAAATAATTCCCAAACTGACTTATACTTCCTCTTTTCCCTTTAGCCTCTTTATCCTTAATTCTTCTTCTACTGACTTTTTTCTGTGTTTTTTTCTTTTGTAGGGGTGAATACAGGTGCAGTTGGAAGCTACATCTATGATAAAGATTCTGAAGCAAAAGCCCAACCTTGAGAGCTTTTTTCTAGCCAACTATCCACCTGCTCAGCCCATTTGCACTGATTAATCTTATGTGTGTAAACATAGTAAAACCTGCTTAGAAGAGATAGCTGTATCTGTTCTTTTATATGCTCCCCAGGCAGGAGATGATATTCTGTTTCCTTTGCAAATTTTTAATGGCTGTGCTTTAAAAAGACAGAGCTCTTTCTCCCCCAAGTTTCTGATTTCACTTCAATTCTGTGTGTTCTGAGCAAATATCTTTGCTGCCATTACTTTATATGACAGAACACAATTTTGCAATGTCCCCTCCAGCCTTTGGAGTTCATTTTTTTAAGGTACAACTTACCATTCGCTATTAGTGGCTGAACAACTGGAGCAATAAACAAATTATTCAGGGAGGTAAAAAAAATCAGGTATATTTTTGAACAAGGCTATTAAATATAGAATGATGCCTCCTAGATTGAGAGCTAAGGTTCTTACCAGCTATGGATTACCTTCCTACATAAAGTTTCATCACTGTCCCTTGTTGAAGCAGATGTCAGCAGCAAACTCATCCTAGCAGCTGGGTCCACTATACTTAGCTGAAGCAAAAGAGTTGTTTTTTGAAACTAGTTTGTATTCTTGAGGAATCTGTCAGAAATTATGACCCTACTAATGTTATGCCAGACAGTATATGGTCCTAACTTGGATATGGAAGTATAAGTTATTTATGTAAGTATGCATGTATACATGGAAAATATTACTGCTTACAAACCAAGCAACTTGCTATAAAGACCAAGCAGCAAAAATGGGAGAAGTAGAAAAAGAGACACTGTGTGTGTGTTTATATGTGATAGGATGGGATTGTAGCTATTTGCAAAGGAACCAGTTCTGATCTTATTATTTATATGCTTGAAATTTATTTATAGCCAGATAGTAATGTTCTTTTTTGCTCTATTCTTCTAGTGTTTTTAGCAGCCCTGGGTCCTAAGGCACAATTGAAACTAATTAAGAGTATGAGCTGAGGTAGCATTGTATATTTGCATTGTAAAAGCTGCATTACCCAACCTGCAGACTAATTTTTCCAATGCAGGATGCTTATCTGCATACCTTTTGCAATTAATAAAGATGTTTTACAACTTATGTGTACTGTGTTTGAAGCTGTTCTTTGTAGGAGAGAAGGGGTGTAGTTCATCCTAAGTTTAAGAAAATCCTTTATTCACAGAGATGTCTGGGACAATTAGGCACCACCCCCTTGGTCATGCCCATTTCACTCTCGGTCATCCACCATACCCAAAACAAAGCAGCCTTTCTTCTGACAATTCTCCACTCCCCAGCCCTCCAGTCCTAGCCCCATTTCTGGAGGTGCATTTCTACCTTGTTAATTTGGTGCAGGGGACAAAAGCTGCGCCTCCCGGCATCCAATCAGGGCAGCAGGAGACAGGCATTGGGGGGGGGGGGTCATGAAGCCAAAGAAGCTAATGCCAGATATTCAAGAATTAAGATTTGGATGGCACATGTGATGGCACATGCATGGCACAAAGGCAACACAGCCAGAGAATAATTACGAGTTTCTTTATTAGCTCTAACTTCGCCCCAACATCCCTGTTACTCTCCGATCCGGAGAAAAACCTCACCCATGAACTTGTAACAACATTTGGCTGCAGATACTTCAGTCCAAATGTTGTAAAGAGAAAACTTCAAATTACTACTGGTGGTGTGGAACAAAATTAAACACGAAAACTATATAGAAATTCCAGTTCCACATTAGAAGCGCTGGTATACCCAAAACTTACAAATATGGGAAAAATTGTCTCATATAAGGATATACTAAACAAAAAAGGGGAATTGAAAACCAGACTAGAATTAAAAGAACAAGGGGTGGATTGGGAGTGGTGGTCATACCTATAAATACAGTCATGATATGTACAGGATGTGAAAATGTGGGATATTAATAGAGAACTAACGACACGAGATACACTATTAGTGGGGATTGATGATAAATTGATCAAGGTAAGATAAAAATATACCAATGGTGGCATGAGCCAAAATTTTTGGATGCAATATTGAACTGGATAGATGGCAAAAACTTTGCAGGGGGGACAGGAAATTAACATTGGCCACATCATATAAAGAGAATTTGTATAAAATGTTTTATAGGTGGCATCTTCCTCTGGCAAGACTGGCCAAAATGTTTAGGAATTTATCCCCGAATTGTTAGAAATTGGGCATTGATAGAATTACCTGAGAACGCCCTTTCTATCTACGCTGCAAGAAAATCCAGGAATGGGATATGACTCCTCCTACTGACATCATAGAGCTGAGTCTGCCACTATAAAAGCAATCAGCCTTGGCTGATCGCCATCTTTTAGGCGAAGATTCTTGACAGAGTTAACGTGTCTCTGGAAGATAAACAAGCAAATTAGATAAATTCCCCCCCCCCGACGTACCAGGGTGGGGCTGGGCTCTCTTGCAGCGTAGATAGGGTGTTCTCAAGTAATTCTATCAACACCCATTCTCCTCCATGCTGCTAAGAGAGTATGGGACATACCAAAGCCCACATGTCCATGGGAGGATCAACGTCTGGGTAGGTTACTCTGACTGTGGTACCACCCATTGAAGCACCCTCATTCCGAATGAGGCATCTGCTGAAGCAAAAGAGTCCAGCCTATAATGTCGTATAAACGGCAACAGAGACGCCCATTATGGAAATCTGCAAATTTCTTCCAGTGACGCCTGAGTAGACCAGGCAGCCAAAGTAGCCGCACTCCTAGGGGAGTGGGCCGTGATGTTCCTGGGAACCAGCAGGGACAAAGCTTGGTGGGCCTTGGAGATGCAAGTCTGAATCCATCTCCCAATTGTAGAAGGGGCCACCTTGGTCCCCAAGGAGGTGGGATGACACAAACATGGCCTCAGATGTCCGGAATTCAGCTGTCGGCTTGATGTAGATCTTGAGGGCCCGCCTTACATCCAACTTATGCCACCTATGCTCCAACTCATGTTGTGTCCCGGGGCAGAAATTTGGCAAAAAAACCTCCTGCGCCCGGTGAAACCAGGAGTTTATCTTAGGAACAAACGTGGGGGCTAACCTCAATACCACCCCGTTGTCATGGAACACACAAAGATCCTGTCTAATGGAGAGAGCGGCTAACTCTGACACTCTCCTGGCAGAAGTGATGGCCACCAAAAATGCCACCTTGATGGTCATGAGTTGGAGAGACACTTATTTAAGGGGTTCAAAGGGAGGACCCGTAAGGGCCTGCAGAACTTTAGGGAGATCCCAAGTGGGAAACCTATGAACCATGGGAGGGCAGAGGTTAGCTGCCCCCTGTAGGAACCTGTGTACCGAGGGATGATGAGATAAGGAATCAAGACCCTCCCTGGACAAAACAGAGGAAAGAACCGCCACTTGATGGCAAAGAGTATTAAGGGTGAGGCCTTGATCGAGCCCATCTTGGAGAAACATTAACACCTCCACAACTGATGCTGAAGATGGCACTATTGCTGACTTAGCAGATCAGAACAGAAGACCCCCCCCAAGTAGCATTGTAGATGCGCGTGATGGAAGGTTTTCGGAAGGCCTGATTGGTGTCAATCGCTCTATCAGGAAAATTGGCCTTTCTCATAGATTGCCGCTCAAGCACCAAGCGGCTAATCGGAACCACTGAGGGTCCTGGTGGAGCAAGGCCCCCTGACGCAAGGAGATCCTGTCGTCCAGGAGTTGGAAACCTGGTGAAGACTCTGCTTACCTGAGCATTGAGGGGAGAAGAGATCCACTCTTGTTCCAAACAAGAAGAGATCCACTCTTGTTCCAAACCTGTGGGACAAGGCCAGAAATAATGAAGGATGGAGACTCCAATCCATTCGGCCTGAGACTGACTCAACCAGTCAGCCTGGACATTGTCGACCCCCAAGATGTGATCTGCCCTGTTGGACAGAAGATGTCTCTTGGCCCATCTCCCCAGGTGTTCTGCCTCCCTCATGAGGGCCCTGGACCTGGTCCCCCCCCGTCTGTTGACATGGGCCTTTGCGGCCACATTGTCTGTCATGACTAGAATGTGGCAACCCGCCACCCTGTGTCAGAAATGTTTCAGGGCCAAGAAGATGGCCCTGAGTTTGAGCCAATTTATGGGGCAAGCTCTGTCTCTCTGAGACCAACTTTCTTGAGCTATCTCGCCTGCTAGATGGGCTTCCCAGCCTTGAAGACTGGCATCCATAGTTCCCCTATCTGGCTCCTTGAAGGAAAGACCCCACCATACTGCCTGGGATTGCCACCACCTGAAGGATTGAAGGACCTGGGGTGGAACCTGCACTCTGATGGATGAGTGGCTGGTGCCTGCCTGTTGGAATGGCAGCAGGAACCACTGGAGTACATGGGCATGAAGGTGGACCCATGGGACGATGCCAATCATCTTCCCCAGGAGCTGAGACAGGAGAGACAGGGGAACGGTGTGCTAGCGTCGAATCTGGAGTATAAGGGCGTTGAGGCTCTCTCTGCGGTGTGGGGAAACAAAAACTTGGCAACAGGAAATATCAGTGATCGTCCCGAGATGCAACAGCCTGATCGTAGGGACTTTTCTTCAGGTTGATCGAGAAGCCGTGGTCTCGCAGGCACTGCAGCATGATGCAAAGATCTTGATGGGCAGAGCCGACTGACTGCAACTGGATCAGGATGTCATCCAGATAGCACTGGACCCTCACTGGAATAGACTGAAGTGAAGCCGCCAGAGGTGCCAGAACCTTTGTAAAGACCCTGGGTGCCAATGAAAGACCAAAGGGAAGGGCCTGGTACTGGAAATGGACATTCTGGTAACAGAAACAGAGAAACTGGTGGTGATGAGACCAGATAGGAATATGGAGGTAAGCCTTCGAGAGATCAATGGTGGAAAGGAGGTCACCCTCTCAAACATTCTCTAGAATGGAATGCAGAGTTTGCATTTTAAAACGCCTGTACAGAATAAATTTGTTTAGGAGTTTAAGGTTGAGGATGGCCCTCCACCTCCCAGAGGCCTTTGGGATCATGAAGAGGCAAGAGTAGAAAACAAGTCCTCGTTGGAACTGGCTCAATGGCCCAAAGTTGGAACATAAAAGAGCTGTCCCTTGACGTAGGACATTGAACAAAAAATTGTGGGGGTGGAGAGAGAAACTCAAGCTGTAGGCCAAACCCCACTGTTTTAAGCACCCAGGCGTCTGATGTTGACTCCTCCCATCTAGAGGCGAAAAAAGCCAGACGGCCTCCGATGGGGGGGAGAATAGGATCTTTACTTCAAGCATCGGAACGAACGACCTCCTCCCCCTTGAAAGGACCGTTTACCATGGGCCTGTTGTTGCCTGCCTGAAGCCTCAGGACATTGGTCTTGGCGCTGAGGGAAAGATCTCTGGCCTCTGGAGAATCGCGTTGTGGATTCAGACCTGAAGGAAATGGGCTGATAGTACAGACTGAGACGATATTCAGATGTCTTCCCCGCTGTAGAGAGAATCTTTCACTGGTTTTGACCAAGTAAGGCTCCAGGGCGTCGCCGAACAGCTTATCTCCAGAGCATGGGGCCGACGCCAACTTCCATTTATGATGCGTATCTGACTGCCAATTCCGCAGTCAAAGGAGCTCAGAGGAAGCCATGGCCCTGGAGGCGAACTTGGCAGAATTCAAAGTCGCATCTGCCGTAAATTCCGCAGCAGCAATTATCTTGTTAAGATCTTGATGCGCCCTGAAATCAGTGGCCGGGAGTCTCTCTTGTAGCTGATGGAGCTAGTGCAATGAGGATCTCATGAAAAATGAGGATGCCGTAGATGCCCTGATAGCCCAAGCTGCAGCCTGGTGGGTGCACCTAAGGGTTTGCTCAGACCTCTTATCTTCTGCCTTAAGCACATCCTCAGGTTCAGTGGGCGTGTCTGATGAAGAGAACGAGGCAACCACTGGGGCATCTACTGAAGGTATAATCAGGGCACTGGCTAAGGCAGGGCCAACATTGTAAAATCACCTATCATGCAAAGAAGGCCGTGGCCCAGATCCAGGGGATGCACCCTGCTCCTTCACTAAATCAAGGAATATGGTAGGGGAAGGGAGAATTTCAGTATGAACCACTGGTCTGGTGAACAGAGAATGGCTGTGGCCAGGAGGGGCCACCTGAGGTTCTGGGG